TTTTTTCATAACCGAACACAAAATTTAAAAAAAAAAAACATATTTTATAAGCCGCCAAACATAAAAATGTTACTTTCTTATATATAAATATCCTATCACTGTTGATTTATTAATCCAAATGGAAAGAATTCAATTTTTCTTAAATAAGATGTTAAGTTTAAATCTTATGAATAAAAAAATAGATATTGAGAGAGTTTCTCTTCATATAGAGTCTAATATAACTTAATTCTGAATTAATCAATATCCAATGCAACTTTTAGATATCAAGAGATTAATATAAAAAAAATACTCTATCAAAATGTTTCTTAACAAAGTTCTTTTACGGATAAAATTTAGAGCATGTTTGGATTAACTTGTAAGATTTTTTATTTTTTTTATTGTTTATAAGTGATAAATTTAAATTTTTATTAAAAAAAATGTTAAAGTTACTTTTGGAGATAAAAAAAATAAGTAAAAAAAAAATTTATGAGTAGCAAAAATTTTTAACTTTAAAATTTTTACTATTTAAGATCTTTTTAAAATTAAAAAAAATTAAAAAATATAAACTTTTAAAAGTAAATTTAAACTTGCCAAATATAAATAATTTCAAAAAATTAACTATACCAAACATTCTTTTATTTTGACAACCCAAAAAGGCCTTTTAAATTGCTTTTTATGATGCAACCTAAGTTTTAAAAAACATTAAAAAAAAAAAAATGGCACGTGGAGATTTGCAGTCACACCTGGTTCCTTGCTCTTGTTGAGTTTATCATTTTGTCGCCACTCGCCATCTGCATACCTGTATGTATGGCTGTATCCTGCCCACAGCACTATCTTCAAAAAATGATTACGAGGAGCACTTCAAAATTTTCACCCAAAAAGAAAGAAAAGGAAATACTTCCAAATTTTTATCTATTACAGCAATTACCGTTTCAATTATAGGAACATTTATCTGAAAATCTCCTCCAAATTTACAATGTTATGTGTCTTTACTTGAATTCTCGAAGCTCACACTAGATTACCATGAAGATCTTCTTCCTGTTGAGCTCTCTCATTTTTTTCTTCACTCTTGCTTCCTCCAGGTGCTTCTTCTTTCTTCTTTACATTCTAGCTGCTGCCCCTTTTATCATTTTGTGAATTATTATTGATTTTGACCTACTTTTGTTGCTGAGACGAACATCATTATTGATCCAACAGCTGGGTTGGCTTCAGTGTCATGAATTTTTTTGTATTTTTGGTTAATATTTTGTTGGGTTTCAAAAAGGAAAGGAATTTCCTAATTGCAAGTAATGGGTTGATCATGGTACATTTAACTGATACTGATGATGATGAATGCTCTGGGGGATTAGTGAATCCGTTTTAAGAGATGCCCAATTTGCTAATTCCTTCCCTTGAGTTAAGGAGTACTTAATTCTTTAACCTAAGAACATGACATTAATTCTTAAGTTCATTATTTGGTTTGTTAAATACTTAAATTGGACTGGGTTTTACTGCTTTCTTTGTGTCAATTTTGATACATCCATTTTGTATTTTAGTTTTTTGAAGGTTTCATGACATAAATTACATATTAAATTATGTGTAAACATTATAAGTTTATAACCCATATTGGTTCTTCTCATTTCTGGACACCATTTCTTAGTCCTCGTGCTTTGTTCCCACCAAGAGGTTGGAACTCCTATGATTCATTCAGCTGGATCATTTCTGAGGACGAGTTCTTGCAAAATGCTGAAATCGTTTCCAAGAGTCTTCAGCCACATGGATACATGGTATAACATAGATGATGGTTACATTTTTCACTTGTCATTATGATTATGGAAGTTTTATTGGAAATATAATTTTTTTTCTTCCTTTTGCTCCTACAATTGCATGCAGTATGTTGTGGTGGATTTCCTTTGGTATAGGAAGAAGGTCCCAGGTGCTTGGATGGATGCTTCTGGATTTGATGTTATTGATAAATGGGGGAGGGTTATCCCGGACCCAGATAGATGGCCTTCATCCAAAGATGGGAAAGGTTTTAGTGAAGTAGCCAGGAAAGTACATAGCATGGGATTGAAGTTCGGAATTCACATTATGAGAGGAATAAGTAGACAAGCCTACGATGCCAGCACTCCTATCTTAGACATTGCAACAGTATTAACTCTTATTCCCTTGAAAATTTAGTTGTTTTATTTTCTTTGCCTGTGCTGCTGCATTTGAAAGTTCATAAAAATAGACAGCAAACTAACAATTTCAAAGATGATTGGCCAAAAAAACCAAAAACAATGTCAAAGATTTAACCGAAGCATAAGCATTAAACCTTAGTATTTTGAAGTGTTTTATTCCTTTTCATTAGGGGGCTCCCTATGAAGAGTCTGGTAGACAGTGGACAACAAGAGATATTGGGCTCCCAGAAAGAGCTTGTAATTGGATGCCACATGGTTTCATGAGTGTAAATACCAAGACGGGAGCTGGACGAGCCTTCTTGAGGTCACTTTTCCAACAATATGTTGAATGGGGTGTTGATTTTGGTACTTTCTACACTTCAATTAAGTGAAAGGCTTCCTTTTCATCTACTCTATCACTAAATGTTAGACTTTGAAAATTTGGTGTTGCATACCCATAGGAAATATGCTGTTATGCTGCATATTGCATCACATTAAAGAATGTAAAATTATTTGTTACAAAACCTTTGCAACTTGTTGAAATTCATTCTCTTTCTTGAAAGTATGAGTTAGTGTCAACTTTCAGCTCAAAACTAGAGTAAGGTGATACAAATGGAAAAGCCTGAGAGGGCACGACCAACTTCATGCTGACCAAGGCATTTAAATCCTTTCAATCACGAATGAATTTATTCTAACTGATCAATCTTCTCTCTCTATCTCTTTCTTTCTTTTGATGTGAACTTTGATTATTTCTTCATTTAATTTCTTCTTCATTCTTGGCTTCTTTGTTTGCAGTAAAACATGACTGCGTATTTGGTGATGATTTGGATATAGATCAGATAAGCTCTGTTTCAGAGGTATATAAAAATGCCTTGTATGGTAGTATATCCTGGATGGTATTTACTGGGTATAGAATCTGGAGATGATTCACTACGGTTCCTTATGCAGATTCTAGGGAACCTTGGTCGCCCTATTGTGTATTCACTGTCTCCTGGAACCCATGCAACACCTGCTATGGCCAAAGATGTCCACGGGTTAACCAGCATGTACAGGATAACTTCAGATGATTGGGATAATTGGGGAGATGTTGAATCCCACTTTAATGTTGCAAGGTGGATCGAGCACTCCATAAAATTGAGATATTTCGACTTTTGTTTCTTTAACCCTTTTGCATTTTTCTGATTCATCATCATATAACTGATGCTTTTGGTTGTGGTTTCAGGGACTTTGCTGCAGCTAATATGATAGGTGCCAATGGCTTGCTGGGGAGGTCATGGCCTGACTTAGATATGTTACCACTGGGATGGCTCACTGATCCAGGTTATAAACCTAGCAAACTGTATCCTCTCATGCTTGAAGAAAATTTTACTATTCTGAAGCGCATTCATCAATGACTTAAAAGTGATAATGAGATGCTTCTTGTTAACTCCTAGAAGGCTTCACTGCAGTTAATTATTTGGTCTATGCGCCTACTATTATCACTTCATCTGGAACAAAAGAGAGCAACAATTTTCATTCCTTTGTGTGACTTGAAAATAATTTTTTGGTGGCTAGTGTCATTGGCTCCAGGATCAAATTATAAAATGCTAAGTCCCATATGTATGGTCACGTTATGTTGATAAGAAAGCAGTAGATCATGTTCTGTTGATGAAGATATTATCAAAGAGGTGGCACTGTCTTATCATAGAGCATCTGAACACCCTTGAACATTTCATACGTGAGAGCTTAGCTAGAACTAGAATCAATTGTGAGCCATAAATAACTGAATATTTTCATACATTCCAGGTGCAAACGAAGGTCCACACAGAGCGTCTAAACTTACTCTAGATGAGCAAAGAACTCAGGTATGTTTGATAAGTATCCTTGATTTAGTCTTCTACTAGTTATAACAATACTTGACTTCATTTTGACCTTATGAATTTTCTCTTAACAGATGACTTTGTGGGCTATGGCCAGGTCGCCTTTGTTCTTTGGAGGCGATTTAAGAAGGATTGATGATCAGACATACAATCTGATTACAAATTCTGAATTGCTAGGAATAAATGATTTCAGCTCCAACAATACTGAGGCATGTAAACAAAAATTGACAGATTTTGGAAAACAAAACTTTGGTCAAGTGATGATAACATGCTTTTTATTGGTTTTACAGTTTCCTTATATTACTGGTACAAAGGCATCTACCATTGAGAATAAGGTTCCCTCACAGAAGCTGACAGAAGTAGACAAATCACATACACATGCTTTGGGTCTCACTGGCTGCAAGGATCCCAAAGCAAATGGTTGGACATCTGAAGCCCTTGACCAAGATCTTGAAAAAATCTGCTGGAAGGAAAACTTGGGGAATATATTTCGTGAACCATTATGCCTCTTCAGGGGAAAATCTCTTTTGGATTCTTTTTTCAAGAGAAAACCTCTTTTGAAGTCGTAAGGATTTTCTATCTTTCCATAATTTGATTAGTTCTCATCATTTCTTGTTCTAAGTTGTGCAATTCATGCCCAAATATCTTAACACAAATGCAGCGATGAAGAGACAATCCACAAACAGCAATATCAGGGAAAATTCCATTTATCAGCTAGTGATGGAATGGAGTTATGTTTGGATTCTTCTCCAAATGAAAGGCTTATTTCAAAAGAATTTACCAGCACTCCATTTTCTCCTTGCAAATGGGCTGTCAACCAGGTATCTGTAATTTTTAAGCTTACAAAGAAGAAAACTACACTAAAATCTGGAAGGGTGATAAAAGACAATCAAACCATAAAAAATAACATGATTTGAGGTTCAATTAAAGGTCTCCAGCGTAACTAGGTAGTTTACTCATAAGAAACAATTGATGGCCGTGCTGAAAACATTGAGCCTTACACAACCCCAATCATCTCAACTCAGCCTCAACCAAAGTGGATTTTTTTTTTTTTTTGGGCCAACTAATCCAGTTGGATTAAGGATCTGTTGTGAATGCTAGATCCCAGGACAGGGTGGTCACCAATGTTTTCTTGCTAGTCAGTATGTTCTAGTCACACTATCCTAGTCATTGTATCAAAAACACGCTTTACATTGACTGACTGGCTGCTTGACCTTCATGTGTTTGTCTTTTCTGGTGCAATTATCAAAAACTATGTCTTTATATTTATCATGATGTCTTCTTATATCCTCTAGTTTAGGTTCATATGAATTATGAAAACCTAATGCTAATGAACATTACAGATGTGGGAGTTGACTGCTGATGGAAAGCTCGTGAACACTTATTCTGGCCTATGTGCAACAGTGAATTCAAAAAAAGGTGATTCATTTTGAAGCTGATTTACCATATGAGCTGTGAAAACATGTTAAAAGCTTTTATTCTTTTTGTTCATTACGCTTGTAAATATCTAAATGCACATTGATAAATAATGCAGCTAATGCTGGTTCTGGTGGAGTTCGTTCATGGATTGCATCTGGCAAAAGAGGTTTGATAACTTTTAAAATATACATTTGGCCTGTAGTAGCACTGTACCAGCAGAAATGTTGGCCCATTTGAAGCTCTCTCTCATTGTAGTAAATTTTTCTTGCTCATTCAGGTCAAATATATCTTGCTTTCTTCAATCTGAACGCAGAGAAGACAACAATATCTGCAGACATATCACACCTAGCTTTATCACTTCCTTGGAGACAATTCAACAAGGGTTTATGTAAGGGCCAAGAAATCTGGAGTGGAAAATCCCTTGAAGTGAGCCAAAATATATCATTTGACGTGGAGATGCATGGTTGTGCACTATTTGTTCTTTATTGTTCTTAGAATAGCATAGTTATGATCAGCATTTCCCTTCCTACATTCTTTTTCCACTTGATTTTGGCTTAATGAAGGTTTTCATGGAAGTTTTGCCCAAGCAGAACTTCTCAACAAGTGTAGTAGCACAAAATGTAAGTTGATAAACTGCGTTCTGCTTCCATTATAGGAAAACAGTTCTGTATGTTAGACGAAATAAAAGCTGTGTGTGTCTGTTGTTGTATGATATGAGAGAACCAGTACTGGAACCTATTGCAACGTATTGAATATAGAACTCCTGCATCACTCTAAACTCAGACCAAACTCATTGCTATATTTGAGCACCAAGTGTTGAAGGAGAGGTGTTTTTATGTAGAAAAGTTGAAGTTAGGAAAGGAATTTTCTTGGCATACCTCACCTTGTGAGTCAGGTTTCTTTCTGTCGTGTATCATTTTTTTTTTTTTATCTTGATTGCACATGAAAGGTAATCATTTCTTGTTTTTTATTATACTTCATTTGTATATCATATGATTTAAATTTAAAATTTTTTATTTTTAACAAAAAAAAAATAATAATAATAACTGAGTTATTTAGGTAAGTAGGTAGGTGTTCGTCTACCATTCTAAATTCAAGAAATTCATATCTGCCTATGCTGATATGTCATTATGTTAGCGGACAGAGATACTGTTGTTAACGTGGTTGTTACGTTGTGTAAAACTGTAAAAGAATAACTATAGGTACCCTCAGGATTTCTTTATGGGTTAATCGAGGTTACTAGAGATATTTAAGACAGAATATACATGGAAAAGCGCGCAGGAGCCATGCCACCTGAAGCAAGGAGATACATGCTAATCTGGCATAATTTAATAAATAGTGTAGTAATTTATATATATTTTTTGTTTTATTTATTATTTTTAAAAGAAAAAAAATCAAAATGTCATAATATTTTAAATGTCAAGA